ATTATTTTCTGGAAATCGTTTTTTGATTGAATGCATACTTATTTTTGTGATGTGATTTTAGGACTTTTTTGATATTAAGCCGATTTGGCTAAAACAAGAATTACTTTTGTATTATTTTTTGTTGTAAATACGTAGATAAGACTTTAAAAAATAAATACAATTCTATTTTCTTTTCGTTTTGTTACTTTTGAATTTTATTTCTTTTATACCATGGTGAAATCATCGCTGCATACTTACTTTAGTGATACACTGTATATGCAATATAAAGTCAACCGGATGTTCCAAAATATTTATATTAGGTACACGTGATCCGATTTCGCTCATTTTCACAATGTATGATAGGTATTTTTGGGTAGCCTCGCAAATCAGATTTGTTTGCTAATAGTCAGGTTATTCCTTAGATCAAGGGTTTCATATAAAGTTGAGCGGTGCAACACCCCTTGTTAAGGGATTAGGCGGGTTTCAAAGGCACACAAAAAAAGTATTTTTACGATTTTTTTTAATCTAAACAATCATATATTTCGAAAATATAAAATGCCATATCTAAGGTACATATTTGAGCAATGTCTCAGGAGAGATTTTGATATAGAGAAAAACTAAATCGTTGATAGAGTGGATAACAACAATAGAGTGGGTAACAACAAAACCACAAGTGTATCTCGCTACTGCGATCCCCTGTACCCAAATTATAGTGTAGTATTTAAATTTAGTGCTTAGTAACGCATGAGATTTTGCAGGTCTTCGTTTAATGGTTTTTGTGAGTGTGGTTGTGGTCCGATTACGTCCGTCTACGAACTCGTCTTTATTTAGTTTTTTTTTTTAGCAAAGCAACGCGTACATATGTATATCAGACGGATTTCTATTCGTCTCGTCACTCTGGTCCTCTCATAACCCGCAGGAGCAGCGCCATGAAGCATTAATAAACTTAAATTAATACTCACCCATCCAAATGGGGTTAGATCGACAAAAAAACAGCCTTTCGCCGGATAAAATCTGGGTAAATTCCGATGCGTAGAACCGGCTGTCGTGGGAATTGCCATGCAGCATCATTTACACCGGTTGGGAGGAGCTGGGTATACCTCGCGGCTTAAGCCCCTGTACCACGAGAAGGTGCCTACCATTCGCAGACGATCCTTTGTCTTTTCACGTCGCTCCAATACTTCGACGTAACGGAGCGCTGTCACTTTTTTCCATACTCCATGTAATCCATGTATGTAAATCGCATCTTATGATTCTAAGAAAACGATGGTTATAATTTTTAAAGCCGATACGACCGTCCTTGGACCTTATTCTCCCGTTACTTTTACTACGTAATTTCCCTTACAAAAATCAAAATTACTGGTATTTACGCTGTCTTTAGCACGCCATCTAAACAAAAAATTATTTTGCTACTACGAGTATACGAGGTCTGCTCAAAAATTATCGCGAATTTTGTGTTTGTTCAAAAATTATTTATTTATACATGAATATCTATTTTGTCCCCTTCAAAGTAATCTCCATGAGATATTATACACTTGTGCCAATGATTTTTATAATCTTCGAAGCACTTCAAAAAATCATTTTTTTATCTTCTTCAGCTCCTCCGTCGATGCCGTCTTTATCTCGTCAAGAGAAGGGTAACGTCGTTCTTTCATGGGCCTCTTCAGTGTAGGGAACAAGAAAAAGTCACAGGGGGCCAGATTTGGGGAATACGGTGGCTGCGGCATCATTAGTGTGTTGTTTTTGGCCAAAAAGTCGCGCACAAGCAACGATGTGTGAGCAGGGGCGTTATCGTAGTGCAAAAGCCAATTTTTGTCACATCTTCTCGGCCTTCTGAGAACATTTTGTACCAGCTTCTCCGTATGCCACAGTCAACATTCGGAATTTATCCGCGAAATTTGATACAGGTTCTTTGATCCATTTTTTTGAATAGGTAAAAATCGAAGACGATCCAAGCAAAGCAGTTGTCAAGAATTAAATGAACATTCAAAATGGCCGAGCTTGTCGGCATAATGTGTGGAATACAATGCTCGGGACAGACTGCAAACGACATCTGTCAAATATTAAAATACACACGTTCTTATGGAAGGACCTATTTTGACAGCTGCACGACTACACGACGGCAGGCCGACAGTTGTCGTTCTCACTGACTTCAATTTTATCCTATGTATATTTGCCAACGACAGAAGGACGACAGTAGAGTGGATAGTAGAATGGAAGATAGAGGATGAGGTAGAGTGGTGATGCCACTAATATGTAAAATGTAAAATTACTCAAAGCTCTAACAAAACTGACGTTATTTTACAAATAAAATCATAAAATAGCGCTGTTACATCATTTATAATAACAATTGATAATTTAAAACAAATAAACTTACCTATTTACTTATTTATTGCTTAAAAATTTCACTTTTAACAAAATATTAAAATTTTATTGAAGTGCAAGGTATTAGTATGGAGACAACGAAATTGTGTACATGCAAAATGGACAAGTGAGTTGTTTTGTGTACATGCCGGCCATTGTTATGTTGCTGCCCTCTCCCAAACGTTGATGTAGTAGGATTCAAAACGCCGTTTTCAGTTCACTGTCGTGCTGCTGCAGTCTGTCGCGAGCATTGTATTCCGCGCACAAGTGAGAGACATGAGTACCAACATAACGCCACAAAAAATTCGAAATTCCAATATTTGGCGATAGAACCCACTTAATTTCTCAATAGATATCTTATCTATATCTATTTCGATTCTTAATGACAACATAGTTTTTCAAATAAAGCTAATCCAATCTTTAATTTAACTGATTATTTCAGAATCCGTATACGCCCGCGTTTTCTGCGTGATGTCTCCAACATCGATACTCGCTGCAAAGTATTGGGCATTGATCTAAAGTGGCCCTTGGGAATTGCACCCTCAGCTATGCAAAAATTAGCGCATCCGGAAGGCGAGGGTGGCAATGCGCGTGCAGCCGGAAATGCCGGTTCTATTTATGTACTGAGCACASTGTCCACCATGTCAATTGAAGAAGTCGCKKCTGYGGCACCCGATACCAATAAATGGTTTCAACTTTACGTTTATAGAGATCGGTAAATTCATTCTATGCCGTTGCTATTGCAATTGCTTTATCTAATAACTTTTCTTAATTTTTAGGTCGCTTACCGAACAAATGGTGCGACGTGCTGAAAAGGCTAATTTTAAAGCAATAGTTCTAACTATCGACGCACCAATATTTGGCCAACGTCGTTCGGATATTCGTAATAAATTCAGCCTGCCGCCACATCTTCATCTCGCTAACTTTGAGGGTATCAAAGCAGATGGCGTACGTACTGATGAAGAAGCAATTTCTGGTATTAATGCCTACGTTTCCAGTCAATTCGATCCGACACTAACGTGGAAGGATGTAGCATGGTTGGTAAACCTWACGCGACTRCCTGTAATCGTTAAGGGCGTACTAACACGTGAAGATGCCGTTTTGGCGCGTGAATTCGGCTGTGCYGGCATAATTGTATCTAATCATGGTGCTAGACAAATGGATACTGTACCAGCTTCAATTGAAGCACTTCCTGAAGTGGTTAAAGCGGTGGGTAATGATCTAATTGTGATGTTAGATGGTGGTATCACACAGGGGAATGATATTTTCAAAGCATTAGCTTTAGGTGCTAAAATGGTTTTTGTCGGCCGCGCCGCACTCTGGGGTTTGACATGTAATGGTCAAAAGGGTGTTGAAGACTTGTTAAGTGTTCTTAAGAAAGATCTTGAAATTACACTTGCTTTAGCTGGTTGCCAAAAGTTAAGCGATATCAGCGGTGATATGGTGGCATATGAATCCACTTATGCCAAATTGTAGAAAATATTTGTAAACATATAATATTAACTACTGGAATAAAAATAGAGAATATCTAAAAATTAATGAGTTTCAATAATGTTATTACCACCTTAACTTAGCACTGATATTTGGATTCAGAAGTGGTACTCAAATTTCCTACAAAAGTACTAACTGTTGTGTATCGGATACCACAATTGAAGGTTCTATCTAAGTTCTTCTGGAGGATGGAGTCATGTGTAGAAGTTCACGCAAGTGAGGAAAGTTCTCTGATCGCCATTCACTTGGGAGCCCAGAAACGATTCTTTTACATATGACTCAAGCAGCTCACGACTTCCAGTCTTTGACCAAGTATCCTCTGGGTAGCCTTAGAACATCCGTTTGAAGGCGAGCTAAAGTGAGAAGGCGAAATATCTCCTACATAGGGTTGTACGCTGGGTTTGGAACCCGCAACGTAAAAAAACACCCCCAATGAAAACACCCCCTTTGAATGACGACCATGGCAAACGAATTAAGGACTTTGATTTGAGGGCATGCACCTGGAATGTCCGGTGCCTTAATTGGGAAGGTGCCGCTGCCCAGCTCGTTGATGTCCTCGTGAAAATAAAGGCTGACCGCAGTCCAAGAAATGCGATGGACAGGACAGGGACAGAGACGAGTATTTCCTTGTAGCATTTACTACAGTGGCCATATAAGGGAGCGCAAGTTTGGTGTGGGATTCGTGGWGGGAGAGAGACTCCGTCGTAGAGTACTATCATTCACTCCGGTGAATGAACGTCTAGCCACAATCAGCATCAAAGCGAAGTTCTTCAACATATCGCTGATTTGCCCCCACGCCCCGACGGAAGAGAAGRACGATKTGACCAAAGATGCCTTTTATGAGTGCTGGGAACGCACTTATGAGAGCTGCCCCCGCCGCGATGTCAAAATCGTGCTTCGCGACTTTAACGCCAGGGTGGCCAAAGAAGGTATCTTTGGACTACGGTCGGTAAATTCAGCCTTCACGATATAAACATCCCCAAATGGCTGATCGACTTCGCCGGCACTAGAAATATGGTTATCCGTAGTACTAGATTCCAGCATAAGAAGATTCATCAAGCTACCTGGCTGTCTCCGGATCGAGAAACCACCAACCAGATCGATCATGTTATGATAGACGGAAGACACGTCTCCACGTTCCGAGGTCCTAACATCGACTCGGACCACTACYTTGTTGCAGCCAAGATTCGCACCCGCCTCTGTGTAGCAAAAAACGCACGCCATAAAACACAAGGAAGGTTCGACGTCGAGAAGCTGCAATCACAACAGACAGAGGAACGGTTTGGGACGGCATTTCAAACTCCTTACGTACAGCTGCAACCGAAACCATTGGTTTTCGGAAAGTGCAAAAGAACAGCTGGTACGGCTAGGAATGCCATGTCGCAGCGGAGAGAAAACAGGCTGYCTACCTCGCAACGTTACGATCGACCACAATACGTGCGGGATGCTATTGATATCATCGGCCTCAACACTCGCGCCGATGAATTCTGCTTTCTCCAGACTGGACAAGGAAGCAAAGCAAATGGGTCTGGCAGTGAACGAGGGCAAGGCGAAATATCTCCTGTCATCAAACCAACAGTCGTCGCACTCGCGACTAGGCTCTCACGTCACTGTTGACAGTCATAACTTTGAAGTCGTCGAAGAAGAAGAAGAAGTTCTTCTATATAGCAAAGGTTGTCATGATAGTACACAATTTTTTTATTGCCTGGTTACTACTGATTTACTTACAATATTATAATATATCATTCATAGCATAACATTTTGTGGATGAGGAAAGTATGAGCTATTCTGCACTACTGAATTGATAACTTGCCTCTCCTTATAAGTAATAAATTGCGTGAGATGTAAAATTGTAGTGTTTACAAGTAAGGAAGGGCTAAGTTCGGGTGTCACCGAACATTTTATACTCTCGCATCAAATACCGTATTTGTGTAAAGTTTTATTCCGCTATCATCATTGGTTCCTAATATATATATTATGCAGAGAAGGCATCAGATGGAACTCAAAATAGCGTTATATTGGAAGAAGGCGTGGTTGTGAACCGATTTCACCCATATTTCGTACATGTCATCAGGGTGTTAAGAAAATATTATGTAGCGAGTTTCATTGAAATCGGTCAAGTAGTTCCTGAAATATGGTTTTTGGTCCATTAGTGGGCGACGCCACGCCGATTTTCAATTTTTAAAAAAAGCCGCTTCCTTCTACCATTTCTTCCGTAAAATTTAGTGTTTCTGACGTTTTTTGTTAGTCGGTTAACGCACTTATAGTGATTTTCAACATAATCTTTCTATGGGTGGTGGGCGTGGTTATTATCCGATTTCTTCCGTTTTTGAACTGTATATGGAAATGCCTGAAGGAAACGACTGTATAGAGTTTGGTTTACATAGCTATAGTAGTTTCCGAGATATGTACAAAAAACATAGTAGAGGGCGAGGCCACGCCCACTTTTCCAAACAAATTACGTCCAAATATGCCACTCCCTAATGCGATCACTTAAATATCTTTATTTATGGCTTAGTTATGACACTTTATATGTTTTCGCCATTTTGTGGGCGTGGCAGTGGGCCGATTTTGCCCATCTTCTTCTTATGAAGCCAAGAAATACGTGTACCAAGCTTCATCATGATATCTCTATTTTTACTCAAGTTACAGCTTGCACGGACGGACGGACAGACAGACATCCGGATTTCAACTCTACTCGTCACCCTGATCACTTTTGTATWTATAACCMYATATCTRACTCTTTTAGTTTTAGGACTTACAAACAACCGTTATGTGAACAAAACTATAATACTCTCTTYAGCAACTTTGTTGCGAGATTATAAATATTAAGGTACTTGGGAACATAAACTCTTATTACGAACACTGCTGAAGTTCTAAAACCCTTAAGAGCCTGATTAATTCAAAATTTTGATATGTATAATTGTCGGTTACAAACAACATTTGTTATACGATTTTTCTTAAAAATCATTATTTCGATTTTACAGGGTGTTTTATTGAAGGTTTCCTTCAATGCACTCTTACTCAAAGTAAAACGTAAATGACTACAAAGCTCACACACAACAAGTTGCGACTGAGCTAAAAGATGAGCTAAACTGATATATCAAAGCAATATGTGACGTCATGTAATATTCAAAAATGCATATTCATACATTATAACTTTACAAAAGCAGGGGTTGGTTCTGGAGGAACCGCCAGGCGTTTAAGGTTAAGTTACAAGGTGGTGAAGTTATTGCAACATAAAATGGTAATATGCCACTGATCTTGATTAGCTAACTCGTGTGGGCTCATGGTCTGGTCAAGGTTTTGTGTTCTCTGGCAGTATAGATTTAAAATCAACATAAAACTTTTATACTGTTTAATAAAAAAATGTAGGCAAAATTTTTCATTTTCCATACAAGTTGCTTGGTAATTAAACTATTTATCGAAAAATTTAAATAGGTGTTGAAAAGGCAATTCATTAAAATGTATAAGACATACATATAAGCCAATTCGACCTTAAAACGTCGTACTATCCCATTTAAATCGTCAGTGTTGGTGTTTTCTCTATCACTATTATTCTAAATCTATTATTTAAACGGAAACCCTTTCCACTAAAAACCCCTCCAAGCTGCCTTTGCTTGCTAAAACCATCTTCATCTTGTACTTTAACATACCCCAATATCTTTGAGTTTCGTCTCTGTCGGATATACAAAATCTTTCGCGAAATTCAAAGTATTTATGCACGATGCTTCGTATAAATACATACATCGATATTTTCGATGAATGGAATAAAATTACCAACAGATTCTTTCAATGAATAAAATATAATTGGGGTTCTCACAACCCGTCGTGAAGCATCGTAAAACTAACTAACTAACTTATAACTTTATGATACTTGTGAAAACTCTAAATAAGAAAATTATACAACAAGGTATTTTGTTTATTTATATATTTATAAATACCACCTTTTTTGTACAAGCTTTGTAGAAATAAAATTTTGTTTACACGTTTCGTCTTTAGTCTATTTCGCTGTTGATTTACATACCACTTGAGCAGCCTTCCAAAAAAATCCTTCAGAAAGTACTGAAGGCGCGACAATCGTTAAATGCTTACACGCTATGTGAAACAATTTTGGAAATTGCTGTTTAAAATCTGCCTTAATCTCCAAAGGATTTTCATTTAACCGACCGTCTGAGGCTTTTAAGTAGGCTGATAGCTCATCGGAAACGCTTTCCTCGCTTCTATAGGATTTTCAATTTTTGTGCACTAATTTGTGTTGGTCACTCCGAAGGCTGAAATCTTCTAAAGTACCGTCCGATCTATCTGAATCGAATTCGATATGGTTTTCGCCAAGACTAATACTTATAAGATCCTTAATTTTTTGGATGACATTTGCGCATGCATTGGATCGTGGTGCGTGGTAGCACCAATTCGTTTGTTAATTTCTTATTGAGTAAGTTTTTCTACCAAAAAAAAAAAAGGTGTTTTTAGTTCAAAAAATCGTTAAACCATATAGTAGGTGCTATTCCACCGAAAATCATCACATTTTTTTTTTATTACAAACATTTTTAAAACTTTAACAATGTTTGATATCACTACAACAGTAATAGTAATATTCATACATATATGGTACATAATTAATTCCTTTATATTTTAGCTTCCAATTATTATTATTATTTTTTTTTTTTTTTATAAAAGCTTACATAATAATACAATTATTATACAAACTTAAGAAAATACGCAGCACTAGCATCATGGGCTAGCGGCCGACTGGTTATATTATATGCGTCGAAGAAGGTCGCTGTCTTTCAAAAAGTTGTAGATTTTCGAAATGTTGTTGCTTGAGGGATCCATCAA